ACAAAGTAACTGTAATCAGCGGAAGTTTAATTAAGATGCCAAAGAGGGCAAAGTATTCCCTCGCAATAGCAGAACTGGAATCGGAAACCCTAACATCTAAGCATCATTTTTGTCATTTTTATCTTCCGATTACTCATTCAATTCGTTTGTTTTTTGAATATTAAATGTTTTTGATAGAATAAAATATTGCCACAAATTTAAAGGAGAGGAAATAACAGCTAATTCACAGGCGTTATCTTCTTAGCATTAAGCCTATAATTTTGAAATAGGATCGGAAAAATGTATTTATCCGTATGCCGGTATAAGCATTAATGAAATAAGCCAATGTTGACTGTGATCCGTCAATAATTTTGCGTTCCGCTGTAAAGCATCGTTAAGAATAAGTTACGAAGAGGTCCTGCTTTGCAATATTCTTGTTAACTCACATAATTTATAAAAAAATTTTAGGGGAAGGTCAAGATTACGTAATAATCGAAGTGCATGAACGCATAACACATAACGTCTTCTTAAGCAAGACGGAGCCATACATCTGGATAGCTTCGCATACCTGTTTCGTTGTTTAGGTAAACCTTCATGTACTTGGATCTTAAAGCTTTAAATCCAACCTCGCACGCTTCCTTACTTCTTACCATTCCTTTACGTATTCCCATCTTCATGTTTTCGATGTACTGCAAAATGCCAGCGTTAAAAGTCCTAAGTTTCGTCTCTATTAGCTCAACATCCGATGCATCATTAGGTTTAAAATAACGACCCAGTCCGTTTTGCACTGCCCTTCCGATGTTGCAGATTTCCTGCCAGCAGCGTTTGTTCGGTCCCATCATCCAATCTCCAGCGTAGTAATTGACATCAAAAGGTTGACCGAATACGTGTTGAAGATAGTGCTTCACTTGGGCCACAACTTTCTTTTCTCTTGGTTTCAATGCAGCTTTGTTTATGTCCTTCTTGTTGATTTCCTTTAGCAAGTTTAAGGAAGTGTCCGTTCGAATTTTGATCAGAGAGGGCGTCGGATCGTAGGCGACGTATTCTTTTTTGATTCTCTCAGGGGTGACATCTGGGTCATCATAAACTACATAAGGATGGAGTTTATAATATGATGACTTGACTTCATCGAGGAATTCACCAAGCCCCACTCGTTTTGCTTCCTCTGAATAATCACATTTCGCTGATTTGTCTGATGGGGCTGCGGCGGCCGCATTCGTACCTGATGTTCCGTCATCTTCTCCTTTTTCTTTTGCTGCAATAGCAATCAACGCGATTCCAACGATGAAAATGATCGTCGCGACAGCTAATATCATAATTGTGATGATTCTCTCCCTCGAGGGTCCCTGACGTCCAAAAGTAACGCTCTTCTCGTCAGACACCATCATTTCCGTACTCTTGGTCTGCTGCATGATTGTGAAGTTGCTCTCCAAAATGACTGGAATCGCCAAATTCTCCGGAACAATTAATTCAAAGAGCTTGTTGCCGTTGTATGATTCGCTTACCTCGCCGCAAATAAATTGGCTGACGAAAAGTAAAACTTGGCTGACGAAAGTAACAATTGGCGGACGTAAGTGAAAAAAATTTCCGCATGACCGTCGTCCTTTGCGAATTGCTATTCACATGCCCCATCTAAGTTCAGCTAAGATTAGGAACTTTTCTGAATCATTTTTTCAGCAATAGATCACACAAGCCTTACTCATATTGCCATATTGGCCTGATACTGGAGAAATACCGGAATTTGTCATCGCGAAATCATTTGTTATTAAATCGTTTTCCACGCAGAAAATATGCGAGAGATTAGACTAGCTGCGACGTGGTAATAACACGCTTTAACAAGGTCACGGACACAGACCTAAAGTGAAAATGTTATCGCTCAAGGTGATTATTTACCATCTGAAATATATAAAACTAGTTATCATCCGTGACACACAAGGTATCAATTAGATTCACCTTGCTGCTCATCACGGTCCTTTACAGCATAGAAGCCAGCTCCCAGCTTAGCCTAAGTCCACCGCAGTCCTCCTCTAAAGGTCTCTAAGTGGATCCCGGACACATTATTTTCCTTCTCCCTTGGAGACCAGCTAAGCAAAACGTCAGGGATGCTGGTGGTTTCTCCTCTCAGTATATGGCCAAATCAAAGGCAATATTCCTCTCAATTTCCTCCTGCTTGGTTAGTTTGATGAGGTCAAAATCTTTATTGGCTGGAAACAACAATTTTGTGCGTCTATACGATTATTTTGTAGCTTGTGTGCAAGTTTTTTAATTCGAAGGCCTGCTAAGCGACTTTCGTGGTTCTTACTTTCAGATGAGCTGTTCTCGCGAAATCATGACAGCGACAAAGAGAAAAGTGAAATCGACAGTGACATTGGCGTTTAAAAATTAGACAAGGACTTGCAGCGCATTCGGGAAGAGGAAATTGTGTTTACAATATAGTTTAACTTTCAGTGAGTAATGACAATCTACTGTGTGACCTGTGTCGTCTAAGTCTTCGCTCGTGGTTTGACCTGATTCTTGCGCGTCTCAGCCTTGTTGTAAAGCATCTTATCTCAAGCACATTTTCTACCAATCTCTTCACTTTAAACTACTCTTGACAGCGAAAACCTAAACAAGTACTCTAGTGTTTACTGTCGGTCGAAGGCAAGGCCAGCTATCTTATAATAAGAAATTCCGCTGTTTCTTCAACGCTTCACTCAGTAACATGAATTTGTCTGGCATGATTTATCGCAGATGAAAAAATACCCGGAAAGGGAAATTATGCTTATCAGTTCGTAAAGGACGATGGACAGACGGAAATTTTTCTGCTCTTTAAAAGGGTATTAAAGGGCGTCAGCCACGTTATTGAATTTTCGACCTTGAAGGTGAATGTGCGCAAAAAAAGCAATGCCAACACTTGATTGTACCTGAAAATCTAGCGATCCTTAACATTTGGGAATCAAATTGACAAATCATGCAGCAAACCAAAAGTATGGAGATGATGATTTCCAAAAAAGAGACCATACTTTCGGGCGTCGAGGACCCTCGCGAGAGAGAATCTGAGAAAACAACATGGCAACCACTCATTTTATGAAGAAGCTCTGGGCGTCGCCTCTCCGGAAATACCCCTACACCGAAGGCATTCGATTGCCTGACTTTTCTGGGTCCGGTCCTTGTGGGAAAATGTGGCACTCAATCGGTAAACGTTTAATTACAAAGTAAGTGAGCATGACCTCTAACGCGTTAGAAATTTTTTGTTGCGTTTCTCATTTCTGGTGTATTTTCTACTTAATCTCTTTTTTGTGCACTCTCATTCAATTCTTTCTTGACTGAAAACTAAAAGAAGAACTTTTGTGTAGGTTCGACGCAAGGCTACAAGATCCACTTAAGTGAGGCCCTGTCAGGAGGGGTCTTATCGTCCCTCTTCTGAGTTTCAAACCTTTTCACGTCGCAAGTTCGGAAGGTTCGCATGTGGGTGGCGGAATTTCGTCCAAAGCCACAGATAACGATATTGGAAATGTTCAAGTATAGAAAGTTTAACCTTAATGGGTTCTCGTAATTCTGTTCCCGATACATTTTATTTCCGGATAATTATCGACCAAATAAAGCCTTGCAAAGAGCGACATCGAAAAAAAAAAAAAAGAAAAGGATAAATCTGAATTTGGAGCGCTTAACCATAAAGGACATGAAGCAAGGTGTGATGATATGAAAGATAAGAAAAGAAGATGACAGAAGAGAGTTAATGCAAATAATTCACCCAAGCAAAATTGGACTTGATCACCGTATTGTTATTGCTGTGCTCTGCTTGAGTGTCCACTCTAATATTTCTCTATTTGTAAATGAAATCAGAACTTTTTATTGATTAGATTAAAAAGCTATTTTCAGTCTAAAACATCTGAAGTATTATGATCTTAGTATTATGTATCATTGTATCATTATCTACAAATGCCTTTAAATCCTAGCTATCTCATTAGGAACATTGCTAAAAGATCTGCTCTCGGTAATCAGTCCACCAGCTTTCCACTATAGAGTGGGATGGTACAGATTTGACAGAACGTTGTTGACCACTGAACCTTCTTTAAAATGAGATGTGGAAGACCCAGCATTTTCTTCCTTATTCATCGTAATTTTTTTACCCTTTTTATATCTTGAAAATGACAATTTGCGATCCAAATATTTTTTGAATATATGATTTACATGGATATATATGTCGTCACATTGCTTTAATTTGTGACTGAGTGATGGTAACTAACTGTTTGTTTCCGGCTGAGTACTACCGAACACGATAAGCATCTCACAATCGTTTCAGGATGGCGCGTCAAAACAAACAAAGCTTTTCCTTGCGGAAATATCTTAAAAGGTGTGATCGGCACATGATGAAAACTTAGATGAAAAAAAATTTTGCTTTGAAGAGAGAGCATTCACCGTTTGAATCAGCGAATTAAGCTCAGTAGATCCAAAGTATGATATTTTCAGCTCTTGGCGAGACACTATACAAAAGATGATAAAGTTTCAATATAATTTTAGAGTGGCGTCTTCGGTACGTTATTAAAATCAAGAAATTTTTTGCGGAAATATCTGAATAGGTTTGAACTGCCCATCGTGTCACAGGCGGCCCAAGCTCCAGCTGTAAGATGATCATCTTGCGCAGTAATAGTCATGGCGGAATTATGAGAGTTTGTATGGGAATATTTACGACCGCTCTAAGGAATAAAACAATACGTCAAATTCTTAATAAAAATATCTCACCTTACTTCCACAGCGTATCACTTGGTATCTGACCGCTTCCTTTGGTGAAACGAACGCATTTTAGCGAGTTGTCAATTTCGAGGTTTTCAACGTACATGGGAAAAGCCCAAGGCTGAACACTCCATTTCCGAACGCTCGATCTGAGAAGCGAAAAATTCCAGCGCAAAATGACCGGGCGGAATAGCGGAGTGGCGGAAGATCCTACGACGCGGAATGCCTCGTTTTATGTCACAAAAGTCTCACAAAAATGAAATTGCATTGAAGTAAGATAATGATTTCTGATAAACAGGCAAAAATAAAAGAAGCGTGGTTTAATCGTCATTGGAGCCTTGCCAGAGGATAGACCGATTGAGGAACAGTGAAGTTCTTGAGCTAGCCCCTATGAATTTTATTACTATTGTTATCACTATTATTATTATTAATATTATTATTATTGATATGATTATTTTTACCTTTTAATTATAGGTTGAGGGTCAATAAGTCACTATATTCTTGAATCGTCTTTTTCTTATTGAATACTCACAAATATGCGGGATGCGGCAGGTTTTGTATTTCGCATGTGAGACAAATCTTCTGCAACACTGTCTTCTAGCATTAAAATTCAAGCACTGGTTCTCTTAAGTGCTTAAAAAAATTTCTTAAACTGCCTATTTTTAACAATTAACAAGATCCTAATTAGGCTTGGCCTTTCGTTAGAGTCGGAAAAAAAGAGCCAGCCACTAAAATGAGCAATCACTAACAAAAAGTGCACATCATATATAGTGTAAAATAGGTTTCGGTATGTTTTGCCAACGGGGCGCGTCTGCTGTTTTCTTTCCATTGCGTTTCTTCGGTGGTCTCAGAATAACGTCACAGCCTTCTTTCGTCTTGCCCATGACACACGCTACATATTTTTCAATGTGATCTGATAAGTAGGCCAGCGGAGAGGACCCCTGAGCGAGAACCTGAAAAAAGTTTACATATGTCCAGCTCCCATTTTTTAAACCTAGTATCGCTATTCCTTTTACACATAGCTTTTCTCGCTTTCCTCGTTTTTTCTAGTCCAAGTTTGGAGCTCAGCCATTGACTGGCACCTCTCTGGGTGGCATTTAGGCAGTCAACTGCGACTGTCTATTACATTGTCGGGAAGTGACAAGGATATCTCTAAGTAGTTAGTTCCGCAGGAAATCTCCATTCATCTAGCGATTACGGCAGCTGTTTATCTAACTTATGATTTCTCAGCTATTCGGACAATTACGACCTTGTTTCAATAAAGCAGACCAAACTGTGATAATCGGATGAGTAATTCGCTAAATCAGGACTTTATCGTCAAACAACAACATATTTATTTAGTTCGAAGCCAGTTATTGTATTCTTCTGGCAAAATATCCTTACCATTGCTATTGCTATAGCCATAATTTGGCTCGTCAACACCCTTAGCACCCTTAGTAACATTGCATTTGGTTAGATAATGAAAATAATGTCCACATAACCTCAAAACAAACAATGCGTTCATAGCCTATTGACGTCCGCAGTGACATTTAGGGATGAAATCCCTTAAAACGAATGTATGAGACGTATTTACTAACCTGGTAATGGAAATCTCGCAGATTAAACTTTTCCCCCAAATTATCTTTAGTATACTTTCTGGCTTTTTCAATCTCCAATTGACCAATCATGTACGCAGTCGCTTGTCCTGGGTTGCTCTGATACCGAGTAACCTGTTGAGGTCACCAGCAGTACAAGTAATTTAATAACAGAAAGTAAGAGATTATCAACAGTTATAGTTAAATTGATAAATGTGTTGGATTATGACGACCTGTCTAATGGCACATTTCCGAGTTATGTTTGCCTCCTTTTCAAAACGAGCTTGGAAAGTTACTTTAAAACTTTTTAAACGCTATACTTGTAACAATAATTCTTTTTTTTTTTTAATTATTTCACCTCTTTTTGTGCAAGGTCTGTATCGTCCCACGCATATTTTCTGAAGTATTCCAATGCCTCGTTCCTTGAGAATCCAACGTAATGTAAACCAGTGTCTACGATCAGCCGTATTGCTCGCCAAACCTACAGGTAGAGGGAAGTGTAATCATTCAGAAAAAGGGTCTGAACTCCGTTGATGATTGCATACTTTTATGTACCCGTCTGTGAAACGGTGATGCTGCCATGAATTAAACTTAATCAATCTCTACCTGCCACTTCAGCATTCCAAACCTCTGCATCGGTTCGGTCTTATAAGCGTCTGTATCCTGGGCTATAAGCGGGTTTTCAGCGTACAACGCCCATCCCTCTGTAAACGCTGTGTAGTACGTGACACTATCAAGCCAACCAATAGCACCACCGCAAATGTCGCGGAAGTGTTCTGCATTACCCTGAACCTGTGGATGGAGTATAAGCCGGTATGTCGAGCTGAGTGGACTGATATCGACTCTCGAAACAATTTGCAAATTTGCTTACGAATCTTTATTATAATAAAGCTGGTTAACACGTAAACCTGTGTATGATGTCCTGGCGTCGCCTCGTGTGCGTTCACGCTCCATTCGGAAAACCTGGGACCCATATTTTCCAAGAAAAATGGAAGGTTGTATTTGGCGCTTCTTGCGCAGTTTGGACCCGCACGTCGATAGCTTTGAGCTCCACTGGACGGATTCAGATCGGGCTGCATATCAACTGGGCAGCTGGGTGTGGTCGCATAATCCCCAGTGAAGTGGAAGAGAGGAATCGTCTTCGGAGCAAGCAAACTCATCACCTATTCCGGCAAAATCGGGAATAGTTTGCTCTTACTTCTACCTGAATTGACTTGAGGAAACGTATCAAAACAATTTGCTGAAATGTCTTTGTTTTAAATAGATGAGACTTGGAAAATGCATTTCTCGCGTAGGGAACAGATCACGCAGACTTCTAGATTGCCAGATGACCGCTACGTTTGACTGAGGAAAAGTTTAAATTCAAACTACTCCGATAAAGGTGTTCA